CTGTGTTTTAAGGATCAGAATGAGCCATTTCTGGCAACTGAAATTTCTGGTCTGACCAAGAGGTCAGCTTTGTTCAGAAGCCTTGATTTTGCTTTAAGTATTCTCCTTTAGAAAAGCAGCTTTTAGTGATACAGTCATGTGATGGTAGTTAACAAACAAAATTTTCCAACTTTAATTTAATTGAAGTTAAATTAGGATTTTTTAAGTGCTGATATATACCCAGAAGCAGGTTGAGGAATGGCTAAAATGGAGTGATGAAATTACTTTTTGTTCACAAAATCCTCTTAAGATACTTTCGTTTTATGTATAGAAATACCATTCCTCTAAAACAGATGATAATATCTAAATGAACTTCTCTGTGGAAAACAGGTTATACAATTTTCAGGGTAGGGTATCTCAGACATGGTTAAATACTTGTGGGAGAAATATGATGTATATTAGCTTCAAAAATAAGTGTAATGCCTTGGTGTGTTTGTGTTTATCAGAACAAAAATCATGTGATGCAGTAAACATCTTGGTTTTCTCTCTGTATGTGATGAAGGAGGTGATGAAAAGGTTTGTTGATTGCCTACAGTGATTGTTTTATCCTTACTCATTACTAGTAACAGAGTTAGCTCAGTGTTCAAATTTAGACGTACTCTAGTGTCATCACAGCATGTTGCAACACAGAGGTAGAGCACAGAGGCAGAGAAACTCTGAGTGTTTAGTGTGCAGTGAAGGTTAAAAACTCCTTTCTTCTATGGAGTATTTTTGGGCAGGTTGCTCCAGTGCTTAGTTACCCCTACATTAAATATGTTTTCCTCATATCCACTTGAAACCTTCCCTGTTTCAACTTAAGACCACTCTCTCTCTTCCTGTCACTTCCCACTGCCTTCTCCATGACTGTCTCTTGTAAGGTGAACTACCTGGCATAACCTAGAGCAGCACTGAGGCTGGTCACATCTCACTGAACAAAAATATCCCATCAAACTTTTCCATGTGAGCTTTCTTTCAGACAGTTGCACCTGTGTTTGTATGGATATTTTTTTTCCCTGACATAGCACTACAAAAGAGATTATGAGCCAGACCATCTTGGTGAGATGAAATGGTAAGAGCTTAATTGTCTTTCATCAGCAAATATCAGTAAAATAACCAGCAGTCTTTTCAGACAGTCTCTTGCGGGCTTTTTTAATATAAGCACCATGTTTGAGAACTATAAGTTACCTGTTTGTGCAGTTCCTACCTTCCTCTATAGGAAATACATTACTACCGCCTTTTTCTTTGATCTTTTACTGTGCCATTGTACTAACATTACTACCATAATTTAACCATAAATGAAATAGGGTTAAATGTTTTCTAAGTGGTCCTGTGGGCCCAATGCACAGAATTTATGTATTACTATTAAATCCTCCAGAGTCCTAGTTCTTTAGCTTAGTTGTTCACTGTGCTTCCACGGAGCCCAGGTTGAGCTCTTAGATTATTAGTCAGTCATTGTAATCTGGGACCCAAGAGATTCTCCTGGTGCCCCAGCATATGCTTGTGAGTTGAGGAGCACGGCTCCCAGTATATATGTAACAGCAGAGGTTGCTGGCACTAGGTTGATATTTTGGGGTTAGGGTTTAGGTTTTAGGTTAGGTTTAGGTTTTTTTGATGAGAACTTCTAATAAAAAATAATATTTCCCATATGTTGTATTGCATTTTGTTTAAATGGTATGCCCTGTCTCACCCCTCCGAAATGTATGGTATATTCTAAGCCTGTGGTCCTGCCCTGAACCATCCTGTATCTGTCATCCCATTGGCCCAGTGTGATTCCGCGCCCACTTCAATCTCCCTCTTAAGCTGTGCTAGTTAAATCAGCCGCTCTCTTAGCCCTTCTGCTCTCTTAGCCTTTCCCCTTTCTTGCCCCTTCTCTCCCCCTTCTTCCCCCTCCCCCTTTCCCCCTTCTCCCTCAGTAACCATGCTGTTCCCAGGGATAGGACCCCAAATAAACCTTCATCTAATCCGCACCCTCAGAAGCCGTGTGGATTCTCCTTGCCTGCCTGTTGCTGCCAGCCAACTCACAGCCTAGGGGGCCCTCCGGGGACTCCCCAGGATACCACCCCTCCCCGGCCCCCCCCCCCAAAACGAACTGCAACACCCATAAATTTAACAGAGATGTCATTGCCAGTGTTAACTAATATCCACACCTTGACAAACCTCTTTTCAATCATTTTGGAGGGTGTAGGTTCCTAGCAGGCCTGTCAGCAGAAATTAATTATTGTATTCATTTCATTCTTAGTCCAGCCAGCAAGGACAAAGTCTGTGAGTCTCTGAAAAAGTACAGGAGTTCCAGCTTGGCTAGAGTTGTTTATATGATAAACACACAAAAACATATATTGCAATGCCAACAACCTTATTTTCATAGCAATTTATGACTGTTTTTACAGTGTTAAAGGTTGAAGTGAAAACAAATATGGGTCAAAAGCATGATGAGAGATAGTTCAATTCTCAGACTGGTGCTTTTGAAAAAACCCACTGAAACTGTGAAAGCTGTGGTTGCCCTGACAACTACCTAAGTATCTTCACGCTGTTCATTCTCTTTCAGAGTAAGCACCTTTGTAGCTGCTGTCTTGAAAAGAAACAGAAATCCGTATGATTTACTGCATGACATCATGCGTATGGTCTTTGGAACTCAGTGCTATCTGAGCAGGACCATTTGACTTATTTTAGCTTCCTAACCAACTTCCTGGGAGTTCTTAACAAGGACACAGGACTAGCAGAATATGACCACAAAACCCTTTTGGTGCTTCAAACAAAACTACAGTGATGGTACAAAGAAACTCACATCTACAGAGCATTATCTTCTTGAGATTCTAGATTTGGAGAGGAATATAGGTGAAAGACAGATCCATCCTTTGTCCAGCCAAGCTAGGAATTCTCTGACCAGCAAGAATTCCTGTGTAAATGTATTGCCTTCTTAGGAATGTTTGGTTTCATTAGGTATAAGCTTCTGTTTGTAAGACATTGCTCTAACAATTTACAAGACAGGAAAAGTAAAAGATAGTTTTTGGTTCTGCTATCTGTCTCAGCCTTTGACTTCTCCTGTTCTTAGGTATTAAAATAACTTCCCTGTGTCTGTGTGATTACTATGGAAGGACCCAGAGGAGTTGTTTCATCATCCATCTGCAGAGAGTTACATCAGGACACAGACCAAATTAAGGAGATAATTGTGACATTTTATTCCATCGGTATTTGTTTTAGAAAACTGGGTGTCCACACTTGAGGCTACACAGGAGAGTGATTTGTCATGGACCTTGTATGCCAATGCCTTGTGTCTCTGCAATTTTAAAAGACAGGGCTGTGCAGCATCTTCAGCTAATGGTTTTTCTTAAAAAGTACAAAACCACTTCAAATGTTTATGCAACTTTTGTGGCTAGACCCTCAGATACTGAACTGCCAGAGACTACTCTGAATTTTGTATTGTCACTATAATCTCTTCTTCTTGGGGGTTTTATCCTTTTCATATCCATAACAACTTAAATTAAAATAAATTCATTTGCTAGCCCCGTTATGTTTGATATATATCAGAGTCCTTGAACTTGTTTATAGAATGAAAGGATATTTTAGTGCCTTTTAACGTTTGTCTCAAACGTGTTTACATCTATTTTATAGAATGTATTTGCTTGTATGTATCACAAAGAAATTTCTTCTCAGTGAACTGCTTGAGTTGACATGACAAATAAACAAAAATCTGGAAAAGCAGGAACATGTTTTCTCAAAACAGTTTTTTAGTGGTTTTAGCACTTTTGTTTGGTAGTCTTCTGTTAAAAAAAACTCACATGCAGAGCTATATGGTTTTATAGCAGGTGTGTGAGAGTATTTCCAGTGTTTAACCATCTGAGGTTGAAATCCTGTTGAATCCCATTAACTTTTCTTATGTGTCACTTGAGACCAGATGATTCTGTCATATCATTTTGGTAAAAGAAATTATCAGTTTATGTATCATCAAGTGCTGTTGGGTATTTGCAGTCTCTTTTCAAGTATTTTCAAAATTCCTTTTGTTAGGAATTCACTAATATAATTAGACGAAACTCCTTACTATTTGTAATCCCAGTTAGTACTTCCATGTCAGTGGATACCTTTAAAATTAATTGTTCTGTTTAGTACAATTGGCTTCAGGGTTCTAGAGAAAAATGTGAATTAAAAAAAAAAAAACATTGCAAATGGAATTGTATTGCAGCAATTGGTAAGAATGCAGAAGACTTCTTTCTGTACTATTTTCGTAACCCTTTCTTTAGTAATTATTGAACAGGTTGATTTAACAGTGGAGTGGATTATTTTCCTTCAGTATTAGTGCAACTTAAAAATTAAAGTAAGTCATCTGACTTAGTGATTCTTACTGAGAAGTTCAATTACTGGATTTCTTTATAAGCACAAGACATGGTTATATTATTTGTCTTGGCTCAGACTAAAGGTCAAAATTAGCAGGTTTTAAAGAAGAACTGCAGAAGCATACAGCAGAGCCTTTGTTGTAATCAGAAATGAAAATCAGTGCTGAATTAGTGCATATCACAGAACATCTAAATTATAGCTATGGTATCTGTGACAGCATCAGTGTGGTTTGCATGAGGTAGATTACAAAAAGCCAGCAGGTCAGAAAAGAAGAAAATGAAGAATTGTGGCTAAGGAGCAGCTGCCAAATACTATTATAAGGGAGGCCTTTAAACCTCATTTTCACTGTTATGACAGCTGTGAAACTCAAGTTGGTTTTGTTGGTTTTGGGGTCATGGCTTTCCTTTGCAGCTCTGTAGGTTAAACTAAATAGTAATTTTCAAGTACATGTGTGTGTGTGTGTATATGTGTGTGTGTGTGTTTGTGTGTGTGCTTGTGTGTTTTTTAGCTGAAGAACTCAGGATATGAACTTACTTGTAACTTTCAGATCTCTGATGGACAGTGATGTCATCCATTATTTTGCACAGAAAGCTCTGAACCAAACTCCCTGCATTTCACAGCCTGCTGTTCTCTTTCAATCTCTGTTTAAGGGTCTTTACGTCTTTGTGGTATATTTTATCCTGCACAACCAACTTTGCTGTCCTGTGAAAGCAAGTTACACTGTTGACATGAATGGGCATACAACTCCAGGATCAGCATTTTTCACACATGGCAGTGGTCTGCCAGCTGTGGGGGGAGAGATCAGCAAGTCCACACAGAACCTCATCAGTGCTATGGAAGAGGTAAGAGTGCTCTGTAGTTCTCTATAGTCATTAACTTGTTTATGAAATGCACCTAGAGATTTCAGCATTAGTTCTGAAGTGTAATACATGGGAATAAGATGCTAAATATTATAGGTTTGATGGGTGAGGGGGAGAGCTTTTTCTTTTTAATTTATTTTAATAACAAAAATAGTTATCTTTATCTATGTTATTCTTGGAACTTACTGTGCCCTGATAACATCCCACCTAGAGAATTTCTCCTTTTACATTTGAGTCTTCAGTTTAGTATGGAGGTCAGTTGAAGTGTCAAAAGTAGGCCATGAGAAATCAAAGTATTAGGTTAATTCTTTCAGCTTACTATAGATTTTAGATGGATTTTAAGTAGATAATTTCTCAGAGTTATGATGTTCAAAACTTCTGGAAATTGCAATGAAATTAAAATAAAATTAGAATGGAATGGAATGGAATGGAATGGAATGGAAAGGGGAAAGGAAAGGAGTGGAAATGGGAAAAGGGAAAAAAAGGGAAAATGGAAAAAAAAAGGGAAAAGGGAAGGGAAGGTGTCATGGGTATACCCTGCCTGGATGCCAGGCACCGTCTAAAGTGGATGATTAGAGATATACTTAGCGATATTAATTGAATTTATTGCTAACAAAATCCAAGCAGCATAATTAAAAAAAAAACAAAAAAAAAACCAACAAAAAAAAACCCCCAAAAAACCACAGCAACCTTAAAAACACCTTCCCCCCTTCACCAACCCTCCTTCTTTCCCAGGTCTAATTCCTCTCTCAGTAGCACAGGGAGACAAGGAGTGGGGGTTATGGTTATGGTCAGTTCATCACCCATAGCTTCGGCAGCTCCTCAGGGAGAGGAGTCCTTCCCATGCTTGAACATGGGGTCCCTCGAGCAGAAGACAGTTCTTCATGAACTTACCCAGTGGGAGTCCATCCCACAGGCAAGAGTCCTCCCCAGACTGCTGCAGCATGGGTCTCTCTTCCAAGGGGTGTAATCCTCCATGGACAGGCCCCAGTGTGGCCTCTGAACACCTCTCACAGCCTCCTCTCAGGCACCCCCCTGCTCTGGCGTGGGGCTCCTCCATGCGTTGTAGGGGCACAGCTGCTTCCTCATAGTCTGCACCACGGGCTGCAAGGGAATCCCAGCTCTTGCATACAGAGCACCTTCTCCCTTTTCCTCCACTGACTCTGGTGTCTGCAGAATTGTTTCTCTCACAAATTGTCACCCTGCTCTTCCCAGCCACAGTTGCATCTGCACAATAATATTTTATTTTTTTTTATTCTTCTTAAATATGTTATCACAGAGGCATTACCACCATTTCTAATTGGCCCAGATGTGGCAGTGGATATATCTTTGCAGCTGCCAAGGATTGCTCCACCAGGCATGGAAGAAGCTTCCAGTAGCTTCTCACAGAAGCCACCCCAGTAGGCCCCCCTGTACCCTCCCCACTACCAAAACTTGGTCATGAAAACCCAATACAGAAGGGAAGGAAAGGCAAGGGAACGGGAGATACAGATTGATCTAGATCTAGATCTAGATGTAGATCTATATATAGATATAGACCTAGATATAGATGTAGATATATAGATATAGATATAGATATATTATTCTGTGATTCTGTGATATAGATATAGATATAGAGACACAATTTATTAAAAAGTTTAAAAAGGCTTCCTGTTTCATTATAGAAGTAACAGAATAGCTGGTTCCAAAGTGTATTGGCCTTCAGTTCAGCTCTGGTCATAATTTCCAGATAGTTTTGATGATTACTGAATTTTTGTGTCTTTTTAAACTCTGCAGGTGCCTGCAGACTGGGAGAGGGCATCCTTGCAGCCTGCTAGTCAAGCTGGTGCTGCCTTTAAGCAGAGTCCACAAAATGGTAATGTTTTCCACCCTTCTGGAGGATTCAGTACCAGCTCATTAGTTGCTGATGAGGAATCACAAGAGTTTGATGACCTAATATTTGCTTTAAAGACTGGTGAGTGACTCTTCCCCTTGCCCTTCAAAGTTTGCTGTATTGCTATGTTGTTATTCATCCTAATGGTGCCACCATTCCACGAGATACAGTTAAAGAGGTCTCCTAATATAATCTGATTTGCAACGAAAATCTTAAAGATCAGTTGTCATGGGAATGTCTGCTAGGACAACCAAAGAGTGAAAGGAATCCTACCTGATAAGATGTGACACACTTACCACTCAGGTAAAGTACAAGTGAACTTGCTTGGTAGCAGGAGGTCACCTAAATGATCTTTAGGGAGACCACTGAGCCTTGCAAGAGACAACAGCAAGATATTTGTGGGAGTAGCAGATTAAGTGACCTGGCACACTCAATTTCAGAAGCTTGTTCCCTTCAGTGAATCAAGAAAAGTCAAACTGGATGGAAGACTGGGAATGCTGATAATAAACAGGTATTTTTATTTAAGTTCATAATGCAATATATCCTACTTATGGGGCCCTCAACATGTGATGGACATGGGCTGATTCCAGAGGAGGCCATGAAGGTGCTCAGAGGGCTGGAGAGTCACTGCTATGAGGAAAGGTTGAGAGAGTTTGGGTTATCAGCTAGAGAAGGAAAGGCACTTAGGAGAGCTTTGAGTCCCTTACAATACTTAAAGGTGCTACAAGACAGCTGGAGAGGGACTTTTGACAGGGGTATAGTGTGACAGGACAAGGGGGAATGGCTTTGAACTGAAAGAGGGCATGTTTATATTAGATATTAGGAAGAAATTCTTCCCTGTGATGGTGGGGAGGCCCTGGCACAGATTATCCGCATAAGCCATGGCTGCCCCATCCCTGGCCAGGTTTAATAGGACTCTGTGCAACCTGATCTAGTGGAAGGGGCAGGGGCTTGGAAATAGATGGTCTTTGTGGTCCCTTCCAACCCAAACCATTCCATGTTTTGTGAAAATCTGTTTTATACTTATTAATTTTTCTAAACATTTTGCAGACTAGTTCTACTTTGTTAACTGTCAATTTTTTTTTCAATACTTTCAAAGACTTTCAAAGACTTTTCAAGACTTTCAAAGTTAGGTGCAGAAGTTACAGTTGAAAACCTTTTTTTTAGGTATGTAAGAAGGTAGATTTTACTTTTTGACTTCTTGAACACTAAGAAGGAAATTCATAGATAGTTAATAAAACATGAAACAATCCACATCTAACACTTCTGTTAGTACACAATGTTTACTGCTTAAGTAAATCAGTTGGCACCAGTAAACTGTAGAAGACTGAGTCTTAAGGCATGAAGAACAATCAAAGCAACAGCTATAGCTGAAATATAATACAATTTAACACATATTCAGCACTTACTGCTGAATATAATTACTTTTTCCTAAGTCTTCAAGCTCCATCCCTAGTTAACTTGTTTTAAGTTCTTTGAGAAAATAGGTCTAAAATCAACCTTTGATTTTCTTGCCTAAATTATATTATTGTCTTCTTTATTAAAATTTTGTCATAATTTTTAATGAGCATTTCATATTAATGTGATTTGAGGTAGTGACTTCAGGCCATTGTTGGAGAAAAATATTTGGTTTATATTACTGATTCGAGTAGTGCTGGACAATTTTACACCAATGCTTATTCATGTGCCCACATGGTGTCACCCATGGTGTTACAAGAGTAAAAATCCCCATGGTTTCTAAACCAAACCAGTTGTCCCATCTTGTTTCAGCCTCATATTTGAACAAGATGACCTGAAGAGGTGCTGTGGAAGGTTAGAGCATCTTTGACCAGCAAAGTAAATGTTTATCAGCTATTGTCTCAGACACAACCTCTAGCTCAACCTATATTATTCTTAAAAACAAACAAACAAAAAACCCCACCAAAACCAAACAAAAAACCAGCAAGCTTTTATGTAACTAAAAATCTTTTTTATTATTTTCATCCTGACATATTCTGCAGTTCAGTTAAGTGCATGGCCTAAGAGAGGGAGGCAGGGAATCACATGGAAGTAATAAAAAGAGAGAAGAGGTGGTGGAAAGCTGGATTTTTTTTTTTCTCTGTTTGGCAATATGGACCTATGCTACTAAAGTATTCACTATGCTGCAGTCTAACAGGAGTTTTATGATAATAGTTAAGCTAGCAGGCACTGAAATGAGCTTATCTCCTAGTCTCTCAGCACCACATTTCTTCCTCTCTTGCATCATTGCTTGTGCTCACATGAAACCACAAGAAATCAGGATAGATTTCTCCTTTTCTTCTTTCCTCTCCCTTCTCTCTCCCACTCTACATGAGTTAGTCTGAGGCCCTTTGAGTACCAGCCCTTGCTCCAAGGAAGTGGTCATTGCCAACTGGAAGACAAGGACCTCTTATCTGAACAGGTTAAAGGGTAAAGGCAGCTCAGATGCCTTTTTGCTGAACTGCTCTTGCCTGCAATTTGCTGTGTGAGGAGCTTCTCAAACCCTTTTAGAATAGACTTTATTTCAGAAGGCTGGGAATTCCTCATTCTGGAAGAGCAGGGAGAAGGTGCTTTCCCCCCCACATTAGCTAGTTTTATCACTGCTAATGTGGGGGGGGTGTTGCTTTTGGAGGAAGATTAGAAGTACTATTGTTTGAACTTTACCTTTGATAAACTGAAACAGAACCTTCCATTATCTGTGTTCCCTAAAACTGTCAATCTATACTAAAACTTATCTATAGTGGTGCTAAAATGTTAACTCCCACTCTGAGGCCTGACTGAGGATCAGCACTGATTAGTAGAGGAATATGTAAAAACGTTTTTATGCCCCTTTGTACTTCATCTGTTCTTTCTGCTCATGTCGTTCTGAGCTGTCTGAAGGTGACTAACTTATGCTCACAGGGAATAATTTTGTGGCCACAAGGTTTAACCTGGCAGCCAGGATCACTGGGAATGAGTGTAATCATAGCAAAGCTAATATTTTGTTCCTGCCCTTCTGTTACTCTCAGTTGTAGAAAAGAAGACAGGTTAAAAAAAAATCAACTAATACTCTACAGAAAAACTTGGTTTTTAACTTGTCAGTGTTTAGTAATTTGCAATGTGCAGTGCAGCCCCATAAATAGTTGTGCTGGCACACTCAGCCATGTTGCTAAAGGAATGTGTCACACAACTGTGCATTTAGCCCTTGGTTCCACAGTCATTAATTCTGAGCCTAATTACAGATTAACCTGAAATACAGGCTGGCTCAGATGGAGGCATACAGCTGCAGTTCTAGAAAATCAGGTGGATAGCAGTGTGCTGTTTCTTAGCTACCTGTTATGCTAGCTTTGTACAAGCATCACATGGTGATAGGGTTTTTCTGTTTTGTGTGAGAAATCCAGTGGGCTTTTTATATCATACAGCCATTGTATTTGAATGCCTTACCAAGTAATTCCTTCTTTCCATTGAATATGCTCATGTCCATACAGAAATACGTAGCTGGGATTTGCTCTGCTCACTACATTGTGTCATTTCTTTTATTTTGGAGATCTTTTGGAAGAAAGGCCAGCTCCAAGGTGGCTTATGTGAAGGAAATAATAAAAAAATTAGGGTAGGAAAAATAATTTAGGGACATGTCTTGCTCATTGACATGTGCTAAAAGGTTTTTAAAAAATGTTTATTAAATTGTATTTATTTATTGTATTTCATTTATGGCTCTTATTCAAACATCTTCTATTGAGAAAATTAGTTATTTGTGAATTAGTTTTTGTTGATTTCACTAATAATTTTAAAAGTCTGCAATTTTGGACTTGATCTCATTTTCCCTCTGATTTCTTGTGCATGTTTTATATTGATAGTCAATTTAGTAAGACCTTTGCCTTCCAGATTGTGACAGTCATATGTTATTGTAATTGAGGATAAAGCCCAATATACCAGAATTCCCTGAGGACTTGTACTCTGGTAGAGAGGCATTAAAGCATGAATAAATGCATGATAGCTTTACTGATTTCTGAACTTCTATCTATATCTTACAAGTACTCGTGTCCTCTCCCTTTCTGTGAAGCACAAAACCAAAGCAATTTATTCCTTTGGATGAAATGTGAAACCAAAACACAGCAAAGCCTTTGAGGGAGGCCCAAACTCCTCTAGAGGTGACGGGTGACCCATCATGGTAGTATCCAGATGCATATTAAGCAGAATACTGCTACAGTCATGCCTCAGTGGTTTTTTAATCTTAATAGAGGCAATTGTGATAAATATTATAGAAATATTCCAGTATTTCTTTAATATGATGCAAATATTCTAATGATATGGAAAATACCTGGAAAAATCGAAGTTAAAAACCCTACACAAATACAGCTGTTACAATAACAATGTTATATAAAATTATTCATGATTTTCAATTTAATACAGCTAGGGTTCCAAAGTCAGCATTTTATAAACCTTGGTGACCCCACTAAAGGTGCCTGGTTTAAGAATAAAGCATCTCATATGTCCATCCTGAACCTGAGGAAACATTTGAAATTTCAGTTCTGGAAGGTGTTCAGTACAGCATCCTGGAGACTCTCTATTACAGGGCATATCGATTGTAGGTGGCAAAGTTCCTGCCTTATCAATCTACATAATCTCTGTTTTGAAACTGCACTTCAAAGAAAAAAATAAAGTAAGGAAAGTTTGCATATTCATTCAGTTTCTCATCTGTGTTTGTCACACATATGTTACCTGATGGCTATTGAATATGACTGCACAATACCCAGCAAGCATTTTTAGTTCAATATGAACTTCATTTATAGAAGCTGGATGTCTGTTGGTGTCATTTTTCTGAAGTTAAAACCCTGAAAGAAGAATTAAATTTGGTTTGTGTAGCTTATTCATACACATCCCACACATACAATAAAATCATGATTGATTAAGCAAGATATAAGTGCTTGAGAGACAGAAAGTTTTCGCAGTGATATGAGTACAATACTTACAAAACAAACGCTCTCCCTTAAAATGTTTTAGTGAAAGTCTGAGCTATCTCTGAGAAAGCAGAAGAAAACAGCTGGTGTTTCAGGGCACGTAGGGATGCGCTGGTGTAGCCCTTCACCAGCAGATGTCAGGGGAGGAACCTCTCTGTGTTTGAAGCCTGAGCTGAGACTTTTCCGTTTACAGCTAGTCCTTGCATACAAAAAGAAAAGAAAGAAAGAAAGAAACGCTTTATTTTCTTGCTTATTTTTCTTCCCCAACTGGGGAAATTAATACTCCCTGCTACATACCTACCATCCACCTCTAGGATCTCTAGAAGAGTGCATGCTTTTTGGGATCTGATTGAGTTTAAATTCCACTCTAATCTGAGAACACAATGGACCAATGAACTCTGTGAAACTCAATTGTGTAAACAGTCGTACCCTTTCCAGCCTGCTGACTGTTTGGTAAGCTGGTATCCTGGTTACATTTCAGTTCTTATTCCTAAAAAGGATCAACTCCAACACAGTCTGTCTTTGCAGCATCAGCGGAGCAAGGCCCTTGTAAACCTAAAGTACCCAGTTTCAGTCTCTGACTTACCAAGTTCCTTATAAGAACCTATGTAACAAAAAAGATCATCTCTGACTTTTCACAGAGCATGGACAAAACTTGCACATATATGACATTTAAGAAAATACATAAGAATATACGTAGCATTAGACCAAGATCTGATCTTTTTAGTGCCCAGCAAAAGATTCTTAAAGAAACGCTGTGCTAATTTGCCACATTACCAGTATAGCCACTGGTAAGACAAATATCTTTCTAACACCAACATTCAGTGTTCACCTTGAAATCTGAGCCCAGGGTGATCATATGTGTGATTGCAAATGTTTTTTAGTAGTGTCTATGGGATGGGGGTTCAGTTTTTGAAATTCGTACTGTTTTCAGACTGGCTAAATGTCTTGAATGAATTTGACTATTCTTCTTATACTACATAAGAAGTGTTGTGTTTTTTCTTCATTTGAAGTATTTTATTTACTTCATGGTTTTTACTTGATCGTCCATCTCCATGTGGTAAATACAGCAGTCTGATTCTTCTTCCCTATAACAGTCAGGTTTCTTCATTAAAATAATCAAATATCAAACAATCAAAATAACTTGTTTAAAAAATTGCTGTTTTTCCCAGGACCTTCAAGCACCTTTTGGATATTAGGATCTGGCTTATTAAAAGATTGAATGTGCAAACAAATTTAAATCAACTTCAATACATTTATAAACAAGTATTTTAATAATTCAGATCCTAATCTTGACTTTTTTATTGTATCTCTGTATCTTGATGGATTTTTACTCCTATCATGCTCTGGCAGTAGTTGTTGTTTTCTCAAGAGCTTGGATCATGCAGACTTAAGGACTCAGTAGTGTCAGTGAATGCATGTTCCGTCCACGACCCAAACATCAAAACCAGGTGTAAGAAAGATCATGGTGCAGCTTACCCACTTTTCCCCTGGATCACAGGACATGGATCCAAGTTTGCCCCCTACCAGGACTTCGTCCAGACCTCTGTGGGAAGCCTAGTCCTACAGGACCTTCTGCAGGTTCTCTGGACCAAACTCCATATTCAAGATTGCAGGCTGACTTCCCACAGCAAAGCAGCAGCTCACTGCTGTCCGCTTTACTGTAGTTCTTTTCTGCCTGGGGGGTGGCAGGTGGAAGGGTGCTAAGAGAAAACTTAGTCAAAGTGGAACAACAGAGAGCATAGAAAAAGGTGAAGAAACTGAAAAAATTTAACTACTCTTTTGTCGAAGAAACCAAAAACTGAAGTGTCAGCTGAGATAGAAATAAGAGATGCACTGTATGCCTGATAGAAACTCTGGAGAATATTTTACAATATGAAATGCAAGTCACTGCCTCTCCCAGCATACCCTGTTCAGGGCTGTTTTGAGCCAGATGTCATTCCTTTGTAACTGCCTTGAACTGCATGTAGTTACAGATCTGCTTCTGCCCAAAACAAATTAATTCCCCAATAATTTGTAAATGACGTCATTGCAGGATCATACTTGAAAGTGATTTGTATTGATATCCTCATGCCGCATTATACTGACATGCAGCTCTCAACAAATTTAAAGCCTAGACACCCTAAGCCCTCAAAACTCATGTGTTGTGTAGAATTTGTTCTATAGCTCAAGGAGAGGAGCTGAAAAAGCACTGAAGTTTATAGTTTCAACAGATCTTTTGTGACACAATGGTCTGGAAAAAATTTGCATTTCATAAAAACAAGTGCAGGATTATGAATCTTCACATTAATCAACTCAAACCTCCCTCACAATAAAAGCCCAAATTAAATCCCCATCAAACAAATAGGAAGCAGAAAGCTAGCAGAAGTCCTCTGACAAAAGGATGGAGAAGGTAGCCTCCAGAGGTCACTTCTAGACATGTTTTGGAGGTTCCCTTGGAGCAAATTCTTGTATTCTCTTCTGGCAGAAGTAAAACTTAATGCCACAATTTATGTCAAATGTGGGTTTAAAGAATATTTGGTCAACATGTTTTCTCACGTTGAAATTACTGTCCTATTAAGACAGCTGGAATTATTATTTAACTTTGAAATTGTATCATTAAAAATCATTTATTTATGAAGAATTCCTTGGAAATACCAGATGCTAACAGCCAATCATGAACCCAGTCCAAGCCTGGCCTCGATTTATGCTTTTCTGATTTCAAGGCAACCTCTAAATATCTGTTGTACCACTTACTGGGACAAATAAAGTGAATGACAGTGGAATTATGAAAACGCATATCTGGATGGTACAAAACTATCTCAGCTAATGTTATGATCCATTAATTTAGAATGGTAGACTAGTATGAGAAAACTTGCCACATGGTTGCAGGTTGGGGAAACTTTTCAATAATCAGAATAAAACAGAGTGGAACAGAATGTTCCTATTTTTGTGTCAAAATTTCATTCTCACTGATTCTTTTTTTTTTTTTTTTTTTTTCTCTATTTCAGGTGCAGGTCTCAGTGTCAGTGATAATGAGTCATGTCATGGCAGCCAGGATGGTGGCAGCATGGCTAACTCCCAGATCGTAGAGCTTAGAAGAATACCCATAGCTGACACTCACCTCTAACTCCACAGCTTGATGGGTTTTTGTTGTTGTTGTGTTTTTTTTATTCAAGCCTCAATATTTTTATATTTGTACCTCCTTTTGCACTAAAACATTATATGAAACTGTAGTAGAATGCTGTTACCTTTATGTTTAACATTACCTTTATGAATGTTTAACAAGGAATGCTTGCTTGAGGTCTTGGATATCAGGAAAAAAACTGTAAAGGTTTTATAGTGGGTGAGCATCAATAGATACTATGGCAATTGGCCTAGATTTGTATCTTGTAAGTAGATGGTACATTTCATAAACTGTAGCTTTTTTTTAAATTAACCTGTACATTAACACTGACTAATAAAGCAATAGAGTCTGTTTGATACAAACCGGTCTGTTTCTCCTTACTGTTTATGAAGATGAAAGGTGGTGCAGACACCTTTCATTCTAGTAGCACAGTTTTTCTAAGTTTCCTAAGCTGTGCTCTTCTCACTGTTTTTGTGAGTACCCAAATCTTTGAACAAATTCAAATACAGACACAAGCTTTGAGCCAAAGAGCTTGAAATTTAAATTGTGACATGATAAATATGTGGTGATCTGAAACACACAGAAGGGAGGGCAGATGAAGAACAAGAGTGAAACCACTGGCAGCTATGTGCTTTTAGCTTCTTTACCTTGCTGGTTTCATATATGAAACTCTCTCACTCTTCACAGGCAAAAATAGGAGGAATTCCAAAGAGCTGAATTTTCTGTTGATAGACCTGTTCTGATTGGAGGGTTCAAGTATTGCATTACAGAGTTAGATGAATAATCTGGGACCATAAATGAACAAGAAAAGTTTCTCCCTTGGAAGAAAAAAATAGCAGAGGAGGTATTTCAGAACTGAGAGGGGGAGGCAGGCTGATCTTGTAGAAATCATTAACTCTGCTTGTGCACAGACAGTCTGGAAGAAAAACACGTTAAAGCAGGAGACCAAGGGAATTTTCCTGTGAATGTTTCTCAGTGTAGTATAGATGTACAGTAAATGAGAATGTAAGTCTTTAATGCATTCCTCAGGAACTTGCTAAATGCTTCACACTGGGTAAGGGCTGGGCAACACCTCTCCCTTTAAAAGAAAACATTTCTTATAAAAATCTTTCCATTAATTTTTCTAGAATGATATCCAAATTTTGCTGTATCGAATTAGCTGTTGAGCTTTAAAAAAGCCAAAACCAACAAAATAAACAAATCCCACTTCTGCGTCACAGTTCTGTAACAGCTAATATGACTGCACAGCTTATAGTCATTATCTGTACCCAAGACAAGACACCAACTTTAAGGTCTAATGCTGCAAAAGCCTTGACAGACACAGGAAACTATTTTTAGTCAGAAAAGCTCTTAAATAAGTGCTTTTTAAGTGTATGTTTGAATTGGAAAATAAGAATATGTCTGTATATTACTAGTATATGATCTGCTGTATTGAGTCTAAAATTTCTGACTCACAGGAATTTTGTTGTCTTTTTATACTGATCATGGTATAGAGGAAACAAAGCCAAGTCTTTTTGATAAATGTCAAAAGTTAGTGTGAGTTAGAAGGTGGGAGTGGGGGACAGTAGATGAACCTTTCCTTACTGTGGGAAATACACAGGATGGGCAGGAAGACCCTGAGCAGAAGGGGGTTAAAATTGAGTGCAGTACATCACAATACATACATAGATGCATACAGATGTATAAAGTGGGAAATTTATGCAAAAGTGAGCCATCAAAGCAAATTTTGTAATTCAGTTTTTTGCCTGATGAAAAGGGACTTTCTGAGCACTTGAGTGAAATGCAAGTATCATTGAAGTATGTGAGTCTGGAGTTAACATTAGTTTTGGATATTTTGCAATATTTTGCACTCTTTTTGTTGACCTCACAAAAAACCTGTCTCATTCCTCCTGAATAAACTGAGATGAAGTAAATCTTGTGAGTGTTGATCCTTCTCATCTACCCACTAAAGGCTTAATGTGAAACCTGGCCCTACAGAACTATTGCAACACTTACTCAGTTGTGAGCAAGTCAGGACTGTAACAGATGTTTCATTACTCACAGTACATGCTACTACATGCTGTGAGAAAGTTTATAAAGAGGATGTTTGTTTGATTTGACTCATCACCATAAATGTTAATACTTTATGTCACTTCAGCTTGTTGCACAACTGGCCTGCTTAGAGATTTACTGTAAATGCATCAGCATTTTCAGAGCAGATCAGCAGTAGGATGACATTAGTAGAATGGCATCTGCTGCCAGCATTTTCTGAACTTTACATCTCTAGGTGGTACTCACATGGTTTAAGGTCATGAGATGAATTTTGTAATTGTTCTAAAACTGATCTTTTGTTAGCAGAAAATGTTCTGTATGTAGGAGATTCAGTGGTTTAATAAAAAGAGTTTCTCTCAGCCCCTTTTTGCTGTTATTTGGACAGGCAAAGACAGAGCCAGGAGGAGGGCAGCTGTGTGCTCTGAGTCAGGTGTACCCAGCAGCCACACCTGGGCAGGACCAGTACCTTTACTCTTGGTGTAACTCAACCCAACCACACTGAATACCTCCTGTGGCTCCTTGATCTGACGAATTATTTAAAATTTAATTGAGAGTGTAAACATTTCTTTGTTTCTATGAGATTAAATAATCTGCAGCTAGGTATCTTTCAAACCAAGCATTACCACACAACCTGCCCTGCTGACTGACTCATACAAGCCTTTACTTTTCTCCTCTATAGGGAAAAAACACTTGCTGCCTCTTCTGTTTTCTTATAAAAATAGATAATTTCTCTCTAAGAAGCCATTTTACATGTCTTGAAGTGTAGGAGGAGCTGTAGTTAATATTTACTATATTTAATATGAATACTTAATATAGTAAATAAAAACATTTACTACAATATTTAATGGAATGTATCTATATTTCAAATATTATTTAATAATATGATACTATGCTCTATGCAATACTAAGATGTTGTATGATTGTTTATAATTTATTATATTTCTTATACTGCTATAATTTAATGTTTTATGATAATAGTTAATATATAACATTTTACAGTTCACTGTGTGAAGGAGGTCCCTTTTCCGGACAAATTTTACTTAAAACTGCTTACATATATATGTGGATCAGATGGATGAAAGGACATGTTTCAAGAGTTTGTTACTGCTCACATGCTAATATAATTCACCTCTTTTGAAAGATGCCTGAATGTATTCATATTCAAATGCATAACTGTGAAAAATACTAAGTTCAACAGACATCTTTTAGGTGATGTTTTAGAGAAAGCCACTGGTTTCACCTTCCTTGCTGTATCACAAAAATAAAGCTCCATGTCAGTGACTTGAACTGATCTATTCAGATTACTATTTTTTTTAGAACCCAGCTGAGAGCCCCAATGTATTAATGTTCTTTCTTTCTCTGCCATGCAAATGATAACTCTCCAGTATTCTGCACTAAAGTCATCTTGCTGAGGACTCCACAGTGAAAGCTTTGATCTGCTAAAGGATGAGATTATATTAGGAGCTTTCACCAGTAAAATGCCTATGTGCTCAACATAAAATTATGTTAAATTGATTGATCATGTCAGGATCATGGTTAGGCTAGAAAATTACTTAAATTCAGGCATATCTAGCTGTCAGATGCATTTCACTATACCTTGGTTTAAGCTCTGGCCCTTGAGCTACTATTGTAGATTCTGTTTCACCAGCACTAGTGTAAGAAATCACTAGAAATCAGAATGTATTTCAGGTTTGCTGGCAGCAAAATTTGCTCCTGTGTTACTTTGGCTGACAGTAACATGTGAAAGTAGCATATGCAAGTTTGGGCTTATTTGTTCAATTTGTTATTCTGTTAATTTTCACAGAAAAACATTCAAGAAGAATTTCCATTTCTAATGTCATGAATCAGAATCATCTTCTCTACAATAAATACATTGTAATAATTACAGTAACACTCTGGTACACAATAAATAAATGGAAATAATTGCAATGTAATACTCAAGCATTGATCTAATACCTGAGACTAATAATATACTGAAACTGAGAAAGCAGTTTGTGTAAACCACCCTAAAATTTAGGCCAAAAACCCTAAGAATGATTTTGCAAAGTTGTGTTCATGATGCAGCATTTTTACAAGAAGAACAGATTTGAAAGGAAATACATATTCCTGTGTCTTGTAACAATGTCCAGGGTAAAAACAGAAGGGTTTTTATTGAAGCTGTTTTTCCCCAACTCAGCAGGTAGGCTTTGAAGACAGTGTGTTCATGCCTGTGCTATAGCACCACTAATCTGAGCACACAGTGATTTTATCCAGTGAAACTCTAACTTCCAAAAGCTGTCATTTTCAGTGTGCCTTTACTCTTCATGAACAAGTACATGCCACCATGTGCAGACAGACAAAAAATAATTGTAGGATACAATGATATAGATATATAGATGATATATAGACATATAGATATGGATGTGGATACAGGTATTGATATAGGTAGATAAGATATGGCTAGATGTAGATGTAGATGTAGATGTAGAGTAGATGTAGATGTAGATGTAGATGTAGACGTAGACATAGATGGATAAATGGATAATAAGAATAAATTCTGTTTCAGTCTGGCAGCTAAACATTGTGGTTATGAAACATGTATGTGGTTTCTCTGGAAACTTCTTGGCCTCTGCTTTGCAATTTCTGAACCAAAGTTAAGCTTGTGATTTCCTAGTTACCTAACTGTGAAAGAGTCAGTCATGGGATATTGAGTTGTTAAAAGGGGAGCAAAGTAAGGGAATGCCCCAAATCTCCATTTGATCTTAGCCTCACATAGCCCACAGGCTGTGTGATAGATGTGCTGCACAACCTACAGCCTGTTTGTGCCCTGGGTCTGTCTGTTCCCCATGATAGGGAAGAAGAGAAACAAAGATTTACCATCTGGCAAGGACCAGATGAATGGATTAGTGCTTGATGTGCACACAGGAACATAATTCTATTTGATTTGAGAGAACAGCATGTCCTGGAGATTGGGACAGGGCAAGAGGAAAGAA